GTGCCTGCGCTTCATGAGGGAGGTGGAGGCTCTTGCCCGTGGCACCAAGAGAAGTGGGTGATTTCTGGGAGCCAGCCTTGTCACTGACATATTCTATGAAAAATCCTTTCATTAGGATCTTTTCTCCATGTTTTGCTGCTTTAGAATATGATTCGGAGAATTGTTTACCCAGTATGGGAAATTGTTTTTACTTGACAACCAATGACAGCCACCTGTGCTGAGGCTGTGAGCAGTCACAAGATTTCATTATAATTCTTTTCTATTCCTTGCTAGCCTTCTGATGAAATCTATTTCTTCTATTCTTTGAGTAAGTTTTCATATATCATTTTCTTTTAACATAATATGTATCATAAAATAGTAAATCAGCCTTCTGAAACATGGAGTCAAGATTCCCATCTCTTTCCTCGTCCTTGGACCCTTGCAAACACCACCACACAGCCTCCAGTGAGATGGCTTTTCATTCCCTGTCCCTCACTCCAGCCACCTTCTACCTGATATGAAGCAAAGTAATAGTGAGTTGAAAACTCTAAACTAATGTTTTAATGAAGTGGCCCTAAATTCTGTTTAAATATAGCCAGCAGAAATCTCGTCTGTCTAAATTGTCCTTTGCTATTAAACTGAGTCAAAAAAACAAAAGGACGAAGTTAATGCTGGACCAAAGGGATCCAATAACAACAGTTTAATATTATTTATTGTATGGTGTGAGACCAAAGAGCTGTTTATTGCAATATTTTACTTCCAACAGTTGGCAGGAGCAGATGTTTGTGGGAGAGTAAAACCTGGTAAGTGCAGGATTCCCCCTCTGGCTGTGCCATTGTTTGGCCAAGAGACTTTTTGGCAAAGGTTTGCAGTCAGCCCATGGGTTTAAATAGCTGCCAAGAGAGCTCTCCTCCACAGACTTGTCCCCTTCCTGAACTCATTTGCTGTCTAGATCTCCACGCCATCCAGCAGTTTAGCTGTGCAGGGAGTCCTGCAAAGCTTAATGTTCTCTGTATAACCATAAGCTGAGAGAAATGTTAGCTGGTCTGTCATCACTCCTGTTCCTCATTATTTCTTCCAGTTAAGCAATGGGAAAATATGGGAGTTTAAATCCCACAAACACTTCAGGGAAAACTGAGAAAGCATTTCTGTGGCTACAGAAATGGGCCATTCCACTGCTTGGTGCTTCCAGCCACACCCTGACAATCGTGTGCCGTTTCTTGACCCATCCATCACTCTCAAGGTGGAAGACGAGGCTGGAGGACAAAGGGGGAATGATGAAGGAGATGCTTTGAATAAGCACGTGTGTGTTGAAATAGGGCACGATCATTAGCAATGATCATTAAGGTGATTCCTTCCCCAAGCGTGCTGGGACAGAGCAGGGGTGACCCTGCCCTTGGCACTCATCTGCCTCCCTGGGGCAGTGCAGGGATGCCGCAGTCAGCTCTGAGTCACACCGGGAGTGTGACAGTCACGCAGCCTGAGTCACCCCTCTGGCCCGTGGGGAGCCAGAGAGGCTCCATGGCACACCCTGCCCCGAGGAGAGGCTCTGCCCCTGCAGGATTGCTGCTGGGGACAGCCTGTGGAGTGACCCTGACCCTCTCAGGCCTGGAGCAAAGGGTCTCTAGCTGTCCTGTCAAAGGAAAGGTCATTAAATAAGAAAATTATTTCATTTTCCTCATTAAATAAGAAATCTGCCCAGGTAGCATCCCTGGCTAGACCTGAGCATGCACAGACCTTGTTTTGCAAGGAAAGGTCTGTGTCCTTCACTCCTGTATCCCTTTGCAAGGCTGAACCAAGTGAAAAGTCCTGTTTCTAAAAGGAATTTCTGTTGCCATTGGGTAAGAAAGTGCACAGGCTCACCAGAAGGCTGGTTTGCACAGCAGCAGCTTTTATACCAAAATTCTCTCTTTCATAGACTTTGATACATACAGACCAGATTGGTCAATCAATCAATACATTTCACCTGGCTGGCTAATTAACAAAAACACCTTTCTTATAAACAATCTTTGAGAAAAACAGGAAAACAGAGAGCAGGAAAACACCACCTGCAGGTTGTTCATAGTAACAAGCTATCATCGTTTCTCTACGATTCCCTAAAGTCTCACAAGTCAGCCATGAGAAAATTCATCTGGTTTTCTCAGTCTTTTCTCAGCATACTTGTGCTCTGCATTCCAGATGCTCCTTGTGGATGGATCTAGAAGGGGTTTTCTGTTCCTCCTGCTCTCCTCTAGCCTGCCTCCAGCCAGTCACTAGATCTCAGATCCAGCAGCCAAAGGGAATTTCTCCCTGTGATCCAGCAGATGCCGAAGTAGAGAGCGTGGATGCTCAGATAACGCTCTCCTGGTGCTGAAGTGGATGAGGTAGAAAAGAAATCCAGAAGAATGCTGAAAAAGTGTGAGGGAAATAAGATACATGTTTGGACCTGATTTAGGGGTCTGTTCAGCTATTTACAGATGAGGTAAGTGCCTCAGCTGGGCAGACAGCAAAGCACCTTCATGGGTAAGATGTAGGGCCCTTCTCCAGCCAGGTTGTTCATGCCATCAGTTGCCATTGCTGCATCAATGTACGGGAAAGTGGGGAGGGTGATGCTGAGAGCACTCTGGTGAGGCCAGGTGCTGGAACACTGGCAGAGAAAGGCCTTGGGCAGGGCATAACTTCAAGTTTTCAGCAGAGTTCTTCCTCCAGGTCTCCTCCAAGCTGGAAAAAGAATGTCAGCCCCTTCCCCACCCACCAGCACAGTGCACTGTGTGCACCCAGCTGCTGGCTGGGGCTGAGCAGCCCGTGCAGCCCTGCACTGGGTGTTTGCAGAGTGCTGGACCAGCTGCCCAGCACTGACCAAAGTCCAGCCTTTGGTCTGTCCCAGAGAATTATGTGCAAATGCTGACTGGGACAAAAGGGCTCTGTTTTTATTAGCTTCTTTCATCTTTAGCACAATATCCCGACTGTGGTCTTTGATCCTTTTTCCTCCTCCCTCTTGATTTTAATAATTTAAATCTGCCCTCCTTAATCCATATTTCATTCTGTGGCCAGATAAATAACCAAGCAAGGTTGAGGGATTGAGACATCATAAAATCCAGGGGTTTCATTTGGTTTGACTTTATTTTGCAGGACTTTTTCTTTAGTTGGTAGTTCACATTGTTGCATAATCACAACACCAGGAGCAAATAAAATAGAACAAGAGTGGTTAAAAGGAGTCAGGTGTCCCTTTACAGTATCCAAAATACACAGAGCTCTCTATGTATGTAACAGGCAGTGGCAGAGAAAATTAGGGACACAAACATTCCCAGGATCTCAGGTATTCACTTCAAAGAATTTTCAAGGAAGGTGGTAGTTGGAGTAGCTTAAATCAAATGTTCAAAAAGCAGGTGAAACAAAACACCTGAACATAACAAGGCTCACCCTTGAAACACACAAAAAAAAAATTGCAAGAATTAGGGTTGGTAAATCTTTCACTCTGAAGCAGCTGTTTGCTGCACAAATCCCCACCCCTCCAAGCAGGGTCTCACCCTGCTCACTCTTTGTTTTGTTGTCTTTCCTGTCTCTGTTCTGCAGCTTCCTACATTCCCTGCTTGCCCATGGGAGACCAGTGACAGCCAGGTTCCTGCTGTAAGATCTGTGCCCAGTCATGGAGCATCTGGGAACATCCCAGCCCCTCACCATCAGGCACTGGAGCCACAGCTGCCACCCCGTGGGGACAGAGCTGTGCCAGACACGATGAACAAAATAGGAATGCTCCTGGACTTGTGGTGAAGAGCAAACAGCTCTCTGCAGCACCCTTTCTGATCATGCCTTTGCCTTGCTGGACAAGTTCTAAGTAGGATTCATACAGCATGGCTGTGGAAAATCTGAAGGAAAATAATGCAGTACCCACAAAGTGAGAAAAATGTCGGGATGGTCAGGAGAGAAAGCAGCCCCTGCTGCCAGAGGTCTGAGGGTAGCTGTGGGACTTCTCTCTTCCTGTCCTATCACAGTTTATTCAGGAAAAGCCAACAGAGTCCTGGCTGGGCAATGTGAAAAAGGGTTTTTAGGGACAGAGCCTCATCTCTCAACTGATGTCCTTGGTGTTTGGAAAGTTGCAGCTTAGGAAGGGGAAGGTTTCTCAGCAGCTCTTATGTTCTGTGAGTGTTGGTGGAGTTGGACTGGATCTGAGGAAAGTGTTATGCTTCCAATGGATATTCCAGGCTGAAATGAGTCAGAAACTGGAGAGCTCCCAGAAAACATTTATTCACCCCTCTGAGCCAATTTGAACAAGTTCCCCAGAGGGGTCCAGCCCATTTCACTATGATTTCAGCATTTTGTAAAATGTCTTTTAAATTCTTTTAGAGCAGCATAGTTAACATGCCTCATCTTGTAAATAGTTTTAAAAGGAGCATCAGAGTGTTTGGTTACAAGTACATGCACCAAGAAACAGCTGTCAGGATTTATTCTTTGTCATTTCAATCAGAATGGGGTCAGAGCTGACAAAAATGTTTCTTACCAATTTAGGGGAAAAGCAGTTCAGTTATAGGAATTTCAGAAGAGACCCAGCCTGCCAAACCTGCTGAGAGTGAATCAGTGCAGTTTTGCTCTTGCAAGCAAAGATGGTGCAGGTCTTGCTGGGGACAGGAGGGGACTCTCTGACTTGGTTTAAGTGCCTTTTTCTGGGATGCTCAAAGTGAAGGGCATGCTGTGGATGCCACAATGAAATCCCAGACCAGCTGTTACAGGCTGACTCTCCCGGTGAAAAGGGTCATGGCTTCCATCTGAACTCCACCAATGGGTTTGACCTTGGTCTTGGACCAGTTCAGGTGACAAAATCAATGTGGAGAAGTGAATATTGACCTGTGAGTCAGGCTGGTCTGTCTCCTCTGCTGTAGAGATTTGACTTGGGACATCCCTCTACTTCCCTCCTTTAGGTTCCCCGGGATTTGTGGCTTTGTGTGGCAGGAGGAGCCATACCCTGGATTCAGGAAGGATGTGGAGAAGCTGCCACATTGATAGGAGAAGGGTTTTCCCCAGCAGCATCCAGCCATCTGGAAATGCAGCTGTGCCTGCTGAAAAATGTGCCCTTTGAAATGCCAGGTCAGTCCAGGCACAGCTGTGCCTGTCTGGGTTAAACATTTACCAAGTGTCTAAAGGGCAGGGTCGGGGCACAGATCCCAGAGCCCAGGAGGATGTGGGAGGATGTGGAAGGATGTGGGAGGCTGATGCCCTGACACTTCCCAGCACAGGCAGAAAACCCTTCCACATCTGCTCAGCCCATCACAGAGCTTGTGGTGCTGTCACACAGGCAAAGAACCCACCTCTCAGGAAGGGCTTGCATGGATTCCTGGAGGCTGGATGAGGACTGGGAGAGGGCTGGGCACGGCTGCAGGCTGGCTCTGCTCACATCCCTCACTCTGCACCTTCTGGAAGCTCCTGCTGCAGCCAGGATCATGGAACAGGAGCAGGATGAGCTGTGGGCATCCTCTCAAGCTGCAGCTCTGTCACACCAGCAGTGCCAGAGCTGAGGGGGCTCCCCAAGGAAAGGTGCCACTGGAATGGACACAGGAAAAGGCCAGCTCAATTTGTTACCACATTGCTGCCAGATCCAGAATGTTTCCTTGAGGACACCAAAGCCAGATTTGTTCACAGTCCATAAAATTCTCTAGTTAAGAACTGAGATAAGAACATTCCCAGCTGACACAAATTGTGACAGAAAGCAGCAGTCAGCTCTTACAACTGCTGAGAAGGGACGTGACAATGGAAAACTCAGCACTAGAGGACCACTTAGCCCTGAAGGGAGAGGCTCTTCAGCCTCCATTCCATATCCAGTTCCACACTCTGCTGGAAGCTTGCAGAGCTGTGTAATGCACAATCCATAGCTGCCCAAACACTTTTCCAAGGAGGGGGCCCATAGGGAGGATCCACCATCCAAAAGCAACAGAGGAGACTGCAGACAGTCCATGACTGATGTTGGCTGGGCTGTGGCCTTCAGCTCAGTGTGTTGTTCTTGGTGCTTGTAGTGGGAGCCATCTGTGCTGGAAGGACCTCACACACCAGCTGTAGGGGCATTGAGGGGTAGCACGATCGGGACAGACGGAGACAAGAGATCTCTGCAGCCAGTCTGGAACTTGGGGTTTATTGCAAAGGGCCTGGGCACAGGGCCCTGCTGGGATTTGGGGTTTATTGCAAAGGGCCTGGGTGCAGGGCCCTGCTGGGATTTGGGGTTTATTGCAGAGGGCCTGGGTGCAGGGCCCTGCTGGGATTTGGGGTTTATTGCAAAGGGCCTGGGCGCAGGGCCCTGCTGGGATTTGGGGTTTATTGCAAAGGGCCTGGGTGCAAGGCCCTGCTGGGAGCTGCAGCCACAGCTCAGAGCAGGCCCGAGAGAAGAGAGAGGTAGAGAGGATGAGAGGGTGAGAGAATAAAAGGGCAAGAGAGAAAAAGCACAAGAGAGTAAAAGGGTTAAGAGCATAAAAGGGTAAGAGAGTAAGAGAGCAAAGTTCCTGTTACAATACAATAAATCTTCTTCTGTGTTGAATATTCTGATTCCCACTAACCAATCTAGTACAATATACAAATCCTATAGCATTTACATACAGCCTATAAGAATCACTACATTATCATACTCTGTTACATTTTACAGAAGGGACCTACTCTTTAGACCCTTTCTGCCGAGCTGGCAGGATCTGCTCAGACCCTTAGACTTGCCTGCAAGCAGAAGATCTTGTTTCATCAAAAAGAGATTATCTTCAGTCCAGCCACACCACTGTTTTCCCATTGTTCAGTAACTAAAAAATCTCAAAGCTTGCTTTCATTTCAATCTCACTTATAGCTTCTATATTCTCAAAATCTTTTGCCAGACAATCATATTTATAAGGCTTTCCTGTTTCATCTTCTCCAACAACCAGCCTTTCCAGCGTCGGTTTGCTCCTGCCCTGCAAGCCTGTGGGATTTTCCACTCAATACAACGTGCTTTGTCACAGGCTGGAACAGCCTCTCCTCCTGCTGCATGAGGACACCACAGCAGTGCCAAAACATCCTGTGGTCACCATGGCGGCAGCAGGAGGGACTCGGTGAGCCCAGGGTACCCCATAGCCATGCACTCCCTCAGCACACCACTCCCCAGTCCTGTGCAGGGAAACCTTGTTATTTCAAGCTGTTTTTTCCTCTTCTCCCATTGTGCTCTCTCAGGCTACACAGGAAATAGGAGAGCAGCAATTTCCTTGCTGCATTTGTTCGGTTGATCCTAGAGAACTTCCCACAGCCCAGAAAGCCCCTATAAACCCAACACCCCAAAGAAGACAAGGTTCATTGGCCAAACTTTACCTTCCCCATGTCATGGTTAATCATTCTCACTGCACAGTCCACCTACAGCAGCTTTGCAGGGCTCAGCTTTAGCCTGAGCTCTCTGGACTGTTTGCTGACTCATAACAGGGGGGAGGGATGGGCCTGGGCAGCCAGGGAAGCTCTCCTGCACCTGCCTTGCTTTTCCTTCTCACCGTGTCCTTCCTCAGAGCCCAGAGGTGCACGTGATGCTCCAGCAGCAGCAGCTGAGGCAGCTCCTGCCCGAGGGGAAGGGGGACACCGGCACTGCCCTCGCCCTGCTCGGGGGCTCCGTGGCAGCCCTGGGGCTCTGGAAATGGCTGGGCAGAAAGAGGATCCAGAGGAAAATGGAGGAGGCTCGGAGGACCCGGGAGGAGGGCATGAAGAAGATGGCAAAGGCTGTGCAGCAGTTCAGGGAGCAGGTAAGCCATCCTCCTTGGGGTCTGAGTCCCACTGGGGTGTCTGCTGGTGCTGTCCTTCAGATCCTCCTCCAGCTCATGGCCCCATAGCTTTACCAGGAGCAGATGTGCCAGCAGCCCCCAGCAAGAGGAAAGGCTGCCTTGGGAGAAAGGGAGGTCACTGCCCTCCTCGAGCTGGATGAGGTGTGGTGGGAGTCTGCAGCTTGGGGAATGTGAATTACTCACTGAGAAGTTGTTTTTGAACAACACAGGTGATGATGCACTGGATCTTCATTGATCCAAACCCCGATTCTTTAATGACCTGGGAATGTCTCTTGCCAATAATGGGTAGAAGCAAGAGAGCTTTTTCTCTGCTTAACTCTAAGTTTGCACATCTGTTCACACCCCTCTACCTTTGGCTCTAAAACCTGTCTTCTGGACAGCTCTAGGGGTGTCTCCAAAAGCAGCATGCTCAGCCAGTGGCACCTCCCATCAGGCTGCCCAGAAGGTGCCTGCTCTAACCTCACACTGATGAAACACAGGGTTTTCAGTGCCCCCTGGGAGAAACCAGGACATGACACGGGGCTGATTGAGCCAGGCATCCACCCAGCACAGCCCTGAATTCTACTGCAACATCACTTCTAACCCCCTTTCCTTTCTGCTCCATTCACTTCTGAATACACACTGGGTGAACCAGCTCATGTTTATACGGGTAATAACACACCTGGAAATAAAGCACACCAGCTACAAGTGATACATATATCTACAACCTTTTTTCTTAAATATAGATCTATATAAATATAAATATATGATATAAAACCTGTAAAAACCTGTGGCACTGAGAACTGCCAGTCTTCTTTACCTGAGTAGACCACCTGTGAGTCCCTGCTGACTTCCCTGCAGTTTGATGGGCTTGAGCTGTTCAATGTTTGCTCACAGCCCAGACTGTCCTGCACTGCCCGTGTCTGTTTTGAGGGATGAAAGGACAGCCTGAGATTTGTGTGCAAGGACTTTGGCACCTTGTGCCCCAGGCAGTGTTTGCTCAGCTGAGGTTATGTGTTGGTCAGTGGTTAAGTCCCACTGTGCCAGGAGGAAGGCACTGCCTTGTCCTCTGCTGCAGTGCATGGACAAGGCCCTTCAGCACCTGGGTTCCTGTGTTTGCATCCTGTTTGTGATATTCAAACTCAGGATAAAACACATGGCAGCTCAAGGTCAGAGCCTTCACATGCAGGATCTGTCTTTCAGCAAGCTTTGGTGATAATGCTGACAAAACTTAGCAGCCTTTATTTCCTGAGCCAAAGGGTAACTGCGGGGAGGCCTTTGAGCCTTTTAAGGGAACTTCTAGACTAATGTGCTGGAAGAATTTGTCACATGTTTAGAGCATGCCTCAGTGCTTGGGGTGAGCAAAAGGGGCTTCTGCAGCACTGTGTTAATCTGCCCTTTCCCTGCAGGTCATTGCCCCTTGCCCTGCCCTGGTACTGCCCCTGTGCCCATTGTCCTGACCCCACACTTACCCCAGGACATTGCACTGGTTTCTCATCTTCTGTCCCTGGACTCCTTCAGCATGGCTCTATAATAAACCCTGCTGGAACTCTTACAGAGACCCCTTCTGTCCTTCTTTGCTGACCTAGCTGTGGTGTGAGTGTGGGTTGAGTGACTGTGCCTGCCCGAGCAGCTCTCTCAGAAGATTCTTTTGGAGGTAGCAGCAAACACCATCCATTTTCCACACTGCCACATAACTGGACTTGCTGCCCTGGATCCCCCTCACCTTCCCTCTGCAGGTCCCCAGTGCCCAGAGAGATGCCATTCTGTCCCTGCCCCTGCTGGAACTCTCTGGAAGACTCCAGGAAGGGTCTCTGTCCCCCAGGACCGTCCTCTACACCTACTTGGAGAAGGTGAGTGTCCATCCACAGTGAGATGGACAAAGCAAATCTTTGACATTCTCCATGCCACACTGTGTGTGCTGGTGGCTGAAAAGGCTCGTTGGAGCTGGATTATGACCAGCCTTTAATACAGGAGATATTGAGAGAAAAACATGCTCTGTCTCCTGGGTCAGATCCTCTGAGCTGGCTTGAGCTGGGATGCTCTGGGGAGGGGGTCACTCAGGCTGTATTTTGTAAATCAGGGTAGCTGCTGAATGCAGCTGTGTAACGATGCTGTTCTTATCCATCACCTGTTCCCAACAAAGGCCCTGGAAGTGACCCAGCAGACAAACTGCTTGCGACACTTTATCCCAGAGTGTGAGGAGCAGCTCCGGGAAATCGAGCGGCGCACGGAGAAGGGGCTGCTCTACGGCATCCCCGTCAGCATCAAGGACCACATCGGCCACAAGGTGCTTCCCTTTGTGCTTCTGGATGTCCCAGCGTGGGTGGGGAAGTGGTGGGAGATGGACAATGGGGAAGGGACCCAATCCTTCTCTGTTTGCACCACAGGAAACCTGGCTGTGTCTGAGGCAGCTGCAGTGGGCACTCACTCACTCACTCCCCCCACAGTGGGATGTGGGAGAGAGAACAGAAAGGGTTAAAGTGAGAAAACTTGTGGGTTGAGATAAAGACAGTTTATTAGGTACACTCTGCACACAAGGAAAGCAAAACAAGGAATTAATTCACCACATCCCTTGAGCAGGCAGGTGTTCAGCCACCCCCAGGAGAGCAGGGCTCCATCATGTGTGATGATAAATGGGAAACCCCAAGTTTCCCAGTTACCATCACCACAAACATCACCCAAACATCTCCTCTTTCTTCTTCTTCCCCCAGCTTTACATGCTGAGCTTTCTATGCTGAGCATGACTCCATATGGCATGGAATGTCCCTCTGGTCACTCGGGGTCAGCTGTCCTGGCTGTCCCCTCCCTGTCCCTCAGCCCCAGCCTGCTCACTGGTGAGGCAGTACGAGCTCTGTGCAAGCCCTGCTCAGTAATGACAACAGCATCCATGTGTTATCAATACTGTTTACAGCACAAAATCCAAAACACAGCCCTGTAGTTGCTACTGTGAAGAAAATAAACTCTAGCCCAGCCAAAAGCAGCACAAACCTCCATCAGCAGAGAAAAACCAGGGATGAATAGTTATAGGCACAAATGATTTCTCCTCTGATACATGACACAGTACAGGCTGCACTAAAGTTGAGCCCCAAATACCAAAGGCTAACTAAAAAAGGCTCACACATTTTGGTTACCTGAGGTTATTCCTTCCCTGAACATCCACTGGTGGATTCACTTGGACAGCAGGATGCTGGGTTTGATCCTGAGCTGGTGCACCTGTGGAGTATGGAGCTGCATTTGGGTCAGGGGAGGAAAGGAGTGAGGAAAAGAGCAAGGAGAGCTTCAGGAGAAGCTCTAACCCAGTGAGTGCTTGACAGCCCTCTGCCAAGGATGGAAGGAGAGGGAGTCCTTCGAGCAAGGGCTCTCAAGGGAGTGTGTGACCATGTTCACAGGGGTTTTTGGATGAGGGAAGAGACGAGGATCTGACTCTATGTTTCAGAAGGCTTGATTGATTATTTTATGATATATATTATATTAAAACTATACTAAAATAATAGAAGAAAGGATTTCATCAGAAGGCTAGCTAGGAATAGAATTGGAAAGAATGAATAACAAGGGCTTGTGTCCCAGACAGAGAGTCTGAGCCAGCTGACTGTGACTGGCCATTAATTAGAAACAACCACATGAGACCAATCACACATGTACCTGTTGCATTCCACGGCAGCAGATAATCAATGTTTACATTTTGTTCCTGAGGCCTCTCAGCATCTCAGGAGGAAAAATCCTAAGGAAAGGATTTTTCATAAAAGATGTCTGTGACAGGAGCGGGTTGGTACAAAACACAACCCCTGAAGGAACGCCAGAGCATCCTTCCAAAAGAGCAAGGGAAGTGCACTGACTGTGTTCTTGTCCTTTCTCCTCTCTGCAGGGGCACCTGGCAACCTGTGGGCTCATGCAGTGCCTGGACACTGTGATGGAGGAGGACAGTGTCCTGGTCAAGGTCCTGAAGAAACAAGGGGCCATCCCATTTGCAATGACCAACGTGCCACAATCCCTCTTCAGGTGACGTGCATCATCAAAAATCTGGTTGTGCTTCTGAAGGAAAATCCCAGCCTGTAGGGCCCTGGACAGGCTCCTGAGACGTGTCCTGGAGAGTCCCTTTTCCATTATCTGGCAACAATCTCAAGTGAAAAAGCTGTCAGATAAAAGATAAAGTGGGGGGAAAGCCTACCATGAGTTAAGAGAAATGGAGTGCACTTGTGCCTGGGAGGGAGAGCAGAGGCTCGTGGGAATGTGCTGTGTCCTGAGGGATTTACAGGGAGCAACACTGGGAGCAAATGGCTGCAGATCTTTAGGGGAAGATGAGACAGGATCAGAAACTGCTGCAGCAAATCTCTTAACTGAGGGTGTTCCCTTTCTCTCTGCAGCAGCCCAGCTTCAGGATGAAAGGATGGGGTTGGCTGTGCCCCACAGGCTCTCCACAGAGGAACACAAACAAACCCAAGGCACTGGCTGCTCCTCACAGCCTCTTTCCTTTCTTTCTTTGCTCTCCCCAGCTACGAATGCAGCAACCCCATCTTTGGGCAGACCTTGAACCCCCTGGACCCTCAGAGGAGCCCCGGGGGCTCCTCAGGAGGGGAGGGAGCTCTGATTGCAGGGGGAGGCTCCATCCTGGGCATGGGCTCGGACATGGGCGGCAGCATCCGCCTGCCCTCCAGCTTCTGCGGGATCTGCGGCCTCAAACCCACAGCCGAGAGACTCAGGTAATCCTCAAGTAGTCACCAACTGCAAATAAAATCTAAAATAAGAGTTTGCATTAAATAAAGGAATTTATTTATTTTTTCTAAAAAAAAAGAGAAGAAATGAGACAGAGTAGAAATTCTCCAGAGTAAAAATCCGTTTTGGTTTAGGTGAAATGTACGTCTTTGAGTTAAGTCTGTAGTTTGAAAACACGGCTATTTAGTGTGACTGCAAAAAGCCTAAGCTCAGAGAAACTGCTTCAGTGAAAGACAAAGATAAAGGAGGAAGAGAGGGTGATAGAGAGAGACAGAGACACTGCTGTGAGAGCAGGTCACCCTGGCCCACAGAATTTCTACTCTATCTCAATGGGGCTGCCCCCCAACCTGCTCATGGTCAGGCTGGGCTGAAGGGGAAAGCACTGGGTGGGTGCTTGGAGGGAGGAGGGTGGGTGGATCTTAAAGTGTGGCTTGCTTTGCTCCAAACCTCTCCCAGGAGATGGCACCGTTAGGTTTAGTGGGAAATGGGCAGGTTTTCATTGTAAATCTAGCCTGGAGTTTAAAGTAAAAGGGAGTTAAAGGGGTTAAAAAATGCCAAAATGCAACAGTTTTGGTTAAACCAAAACTAAGATCTGCTGGGGTTTAGGTTTGCTTATTTTGGCCAAAATTTCCTGGTTTGAACTACTCTGTGGTGTTGATGGGTCCCCAGGATGAGGTGAGAGATGAGAATTTGACTCTAAGTTCTCCGAAGGCTGATATATTATATATTATATATTATATATTATATATTATATATTATATATTATATATTATGTTATATTATTTTTATTATATTTTATTATATAATATTATAAGAAAATGGTATACTAAAACTATACTAAAGAAAGAAAAAAGATACATCAGAAAGCTAAAAAGGAATGAATAATAAAAACTTGTGACAGACTCAGAGAGTCCGACACAGCTGGCTGTGATTGGCTATTAATTAAAAACAATTTACATGTTTGGTAAATAATTCTCCAAATCACATTCTAAAGCAGCAAAACAGGGAGAAGCTGAAGCTTCTCAGCTTCCCAGGAGAAGAAATCTTAACAAAGAGATTTTTCATAAAATATCGCAGTAACACTACTGAATTCAAATTTTTGAAATAATTTCCTTCTGTTTCTGGTCCTGAGCTGGAGACCCCACATGCTTTTCAAACATACTGTGAATATTTCCCCGTTATTATAATGACAATGTACTTCTTCTTTTCTCACAGCCTGTCTGGAGTGACTGGTCCTGTCAATGGCATCGTGGCAGGTACATGAATTTTGAATTCCTTTTCCCTATATCCTGTGAAGAGCCTGATGTTCTCCTGCAGGCCAGGAGAAAACCTGAGACAGCAAAGTCCTGTCTGGAGTCCATCTGAAACTTCCCTCATGTGGCTGTGCAGAGGGGTGGGCTGGGGTTGGCACATCCATCTGCTCACTGTGGGTGTTTGCTCTTGTCCCATGCAGTCCCTTGTGCCCTGGGGCCCATGGCACGGGACGTGGACAGCCTGGCCCTGTGCATGAAGGCTCTGCTCTGCCAGGAGATGTTCCAGCTGGACCCCAGTGTGCCCCCCATCCCCTTCAACGAGGAGGTGAGGCCTCACTCAGCAAGCCCTGGTTCCTTCAAGGGTCCAGTTATCTTTACAGGACTGGTTTCCAGTAAAACAGCTCTCTTAGAGGGCAGAATTCATAATTCTCATTTGAAAAAAAATAGGCAAATCAGTAGTTATCCTGTCTGTCTTCTCAGCTGGAATGCTGCTTATTGAATTGAGAGCATCCAGGAAAGAGCAGGGAAGAGGGCAACACGAGGAGCAAATGGCTGGAGATCTTTAGGAAATAATGTGACAGCATGAGAAACTGCTGCAGCAAATCTCTTAACTGAGAGTGTTCCCTTTCTCTCTGCAGCAGACCAGCTTCAGGAGGTTTTTATACCTCCCCACTTTTTAGCAGGGGTTGAATCCCCTTTTCTGGAGTGGCTGTGCTCCTCCTGAAGGAGGGCCTGGAGAAAAAGGCAGGGGTAAACATTTGGAAAGGGTAACTATAGCAAACCAGAATATTAGTCACTCCTTAGCATTTGGAGCTCTTGCCCCCTTCTGCAGTGGGTGTCAGTGTGGGAGCAGACCTTCCCCCAACAGGGGAAGGTGGATGTCACAAATGAGAGATTGAGGTCACCTAAAGAATCACTGCAAAAAGCAGGTTTTAATACAAATTTGCATAAAGGGTGACAAAGTTCAATGACAGGGTTCACTCTGTTACTTATTCTGAAGATGGAGCACACAAAGGAAAATCAGCTTAGTGTCACTTTGGAATGATTTGCCTGGACACTGGGAGTGCAAAGGACAAGGGTGCAAAGGGCAGGGAAGACCCTGCCATTGAGTCACAGGATTCAGAGAGGACTCCCCTAGCTTTCTAAACTCCTGACAGAGCCTAGGCACAGCTGAGTCCAATCCTAGTCCCAGAATGGCAACAGTTCAGATCTAAGAATTTAATAGGGAAATACAAGGAGTAGGGGAGACCCTCCCACTGCATCCAGTCTTAGTCCCAGACCTGGTCAATGGTGGATGTCTAAAGGATTTTCATAGCAATCCCATTAGGAATAGTGTGGGGGTCTCAGTTGTGCGTTTTTCTGGGTCTGGACTGAAGGCACTTGAGACAGTAGTTCATGTTCATACTCAGGTGTTTATCATTTCTTATCAGTAAAACAGTCTCACTACTGTGGGTTCAGCAGCTTTTCATCAGAAGGCACAAAATGGCCAACAATCTCTTGTTACAAGATCTTTTAGGACTAAACTATCCAGTTAAGAACTGACACCCAGATTATTTTGCTTTTTAACCCAATAACTGATCCCAAAAGCCCACAATGTAGACTTTTCTGCCCAATTACAAAATGCCACCCAAACCCATGAAGAAGGAGGAAGAAGAAGCATGAAGAAGGAATCCAGGACAATACCCTGTGCCCTCCATCTTGCTTCCATCCACAACATACTAAAAATCCCAAAACCTCAATTTCTCACCAAGTGATACACTTACACTGCTCTCTATAATCCATTTCACACTTTTGTGGATTCCGGTCTATCCTGAAGTCTAGGAAACTTTCTCCAAGGATGAGGGTCAGTCAGTGCTCTCCTGAGGGTCAGGGCACCCCAGAGCAGACAGAGAAATATTCCTGGTGCCCTGGGTTTCCACAGAACAGGAATGATAGCTGGTGTCTCCTTGCTCCAGGTGTACTCCAGCTCCGCTCCCCTGCGGGTCGGGTACTACGACACCGACGGCTACTTCCCTCTGCCCCCCTGCATGAGGAGGGCAGTGAAGGAAACCAGGAGTGCTCTGCAGGCAGCTGGGCACCAGGTGAGCACCACCACCCCCTGCCCTGATCCCCAGGGTGTCCCCAGCCTCGCTCCTCGCTGAGGAAATCACCCTTCAGAAACCAGGCACAGCTCCCAAGCACAGCTGTGGGGAAAATGACCTGGCTGAGGTATGGGATTATGGTTCTCCAGCCACAGAGACCCCTCTGCCTAAGGGAGAAGTGCATCCCATAGGCAACCAGCAGGAATAATCTCATGGGGAGATTATTGGATGGAAAATGGTTGAACCAGGGCTTCTCTTGGCACATGGAGCCCAGGGAGGTGCTGCTCTGCCTCTCAGGATTATCCACATTTGGGTCTTGGAAGCTATTCACATCCCCAGGCTGCCACATAATCCTGTGTTTTGGTGCAGCTGGTGCCCTTCTCTCCCCCTCGGATCCCCTATGTCATGAATGAGCTGTTTATGAAGACGTTTTTTGCTGATGGAGGCCGTGCCTTCTTGGATGTGTTGTAAGTAGGAGCCCTGTGGCAGCAGTGCTGCCAACACCTCCATCCCCATGCCATGAGCATGGCACAGGCACAGGGAGCCCAGCTCTCCCACCCCAAACAGGCAACACTCAGGTCTCTGAGAAAGGGCAAACAGCTTCTCTGAAATCACCTCATCCTCCTGTCATCTCTCAGCACAGGAAATATTGTGGATCCAGGCTTGAAAGCGCAGGTGAATTCCTGCAAGATGCCAAGGCTGGTGAAGAAGCTGCTGGCTCTGCTTCTTAAACCACTGGTGAGTGCCTGTCCCTCAGGACAGGAACAGGGGCTTCCTGGGGTGACACAGGTTACTGCAGCCCCATGTCATGTCCCTAAGGAACCTTGTGCCTTTCCAGTTCCCCCGCCTGGCTGACCACCTGAGCTCCATGGCTGGAATGAGGTAAGATGGAATTGTCCCCAGGGATGTCCGTGGAAATGGGTGATACCTTCTCCTCCAGGTGTCCTTGGCTGGGGGGGACTGGATTCACAGCAAAAGCTGTGATCTCTCCCTGCAGGGGCTGTCCCTCATTGTTGGCCATGGCTTCACTGCCCCTAGCAAAATCCTGACAGGAATGGGGCACTTGAATGGATAAGGTCATTACAGGAAGCCTGTGGAAGAGATGAGTATTAAATCCAGGCCCATCAGGAAAGCCTTCTCTCCAGCACTTCCAGACATTTGCTGCTTAATTGGTTGGCCAGATGCCAAAGGAAACTTTAGGAAGATTGTGAAAGCTGTATTGTTTCAAGCAATTGCTAAAATCACCAGGGCTTATCAACCCAGAGGACTATTTAAGCAATTCCTTCTCCTCTTACAGCTTAAAGATGTTGCTATGATTTCCACTTGCAGGTCAGTGCAGGAGATGTGGGATCACCAGCATCAAATACAGGTTTGTTTTGAGGACTTTCCTCTTTGGCATCATGCTGCAAGTTGAGGCTTTGTGGCAAGCACCAGGTCAGAGGGAGTCATCAGTTTGGAAAGGGATTGTGCAGGGGAGAGGCTGCTGGGGAGGAGACAGGATGGAGGGAAAGGCACAAAGAATGATAGGAATGGGGTGGATGGGCTTTTGAGTCAGCCCAGACAGAGCTTCAGTGAAGGCTGTCCTGGGAGTGGGCATGGCCAGAGTGGGACCTTCCAAATTCCTGGCCACACGCAGTGGGGGCAAACACAGGCTGCTCTGCCCCATCCCTTGAGCACCTCTGCCTGCTGCTGCCTCCTCAGCTGTGCCTGGAGAGGCTGAGAGGCTGCAGGCATGGCCATGGCTCCATGACATGCCCCTCTCCTCCCCAGGTGTACCGCTCCCAGTTCAGCCAGTGGCAGCAACTCCAGCTGGACGTGGTGCTGTGCCCTGTCCTGGGGCCTGCCTTCACCACGGGATACCCCAGGAAACTCCTCGGTGAGTGAGTCTGGGCCCTTCCCAGGAGGGCAGAGAAACACAGTGGCTGAGACTGGAGGGAAGCACCCACTACCATGCAGTTTCACTATCCACCCAAGCATTAGGAAGGAAAAGTAACTACACAGAGCTCTCTGGGCAGGTGGAGACAGACACAGCTCTCAGGGACTTCAGGGAATATGGAATGTGTAAGTTTAAAGGCAGGAGGCTGTGACATCCTCTCCTGCTTCTCTCAGGTGCCATCTCCTCCACGATGCTGTACAACGTCTTGAACTTCCCCGCGGGGATTGTCCCTGTCAGCACCGTGACAGAGGCGGATGAGGAAGAGCTAAAGCTGTACAAAGGATGCTGTGATGACCCCTGGGACCGGACACTGAAACAGGTATGGGAAATGGTGGAGCAGACAGTGCTGATGTGTGTTCAGGTAACAGTTTCCATGGGATCAGGGGCTCCTAAGTATCTCCATCAGTATGGCCACAAAAAAATTCGTATCTTCATATACACCCCTTGCTTATCCCCAAACCCACCATGAACACGCTGTTCTCCCAAGCCCCCAACAGGTAAGTCACTAAGTTTGGGGGGACTAAAGGATCTCCCACAGGCTGGGCAGGCTGAAGCATCAAGAAGTCATGCAGCAAAGCTTCTGGGAGCAGGTCCTTGCAACAGCCACAGCCCACAGCACTGCACTGCACTTTCCTCCTGTTCCACATTGCCTTCAACCAGGCCCAGGCCGTCAGTGGAGCATGGGTCAGGAACGAGGATGCTGAAGGAAAAGGGATCTGCCTACAGGACAGCCCAAGGCAGAGCTGGCTGTGGTGTGTGTGGGGGAAAGTGTCTCCAACACTTTACCCAAGATTTTGGCAACCATTTCTATCAGAGAAAGGCAAGAGCCTTCCCTCTGCCCAGCACACTAACAGGGCTCAAACTCCAACCTCCCCAGGCTGTGGGATGAGCCACAGGCCCAAACCAAGCTCCCAAAACCTGCTGGAGGTGCAAGGGGTCCCTGGATGGCCCCTGACTGTTCATGCCCCTCACTGCAGGCTGTGTCAGGAGCCGTGGGGATGCCCGTGGCCGTGCAGTGCGTGGCCCTGCCGTGGCAGGAGGAGCTGTGCCTGCGCTTCATGAAGGAGGTGGAGACCCTCAGCCGTGGTGGCAGGAGAGTGGCATAGTCACCGTGGTCCCCAGGGAGAAGGGACAGTGCTGCACGACTGCCACCAGCAGTGCACAGACTGCACTGGGGACGGGAGGAGGAAGGAAACGCCACCTCCTGCCCCCTCTCCTTGCCAATAAACACAGATCCTGTAAGGAACCCTGCAGGACTGGCTGAGGATAGGCTCAAACAGTGGTGAATGTAGGAACTGCACTTCCAGCAAGGATGGATGGCCATGGATGTGGGTTCATCCCTATTTCCACCAGTGCTGCCTCCTGCAGAAGCAGGGTGGTGGAAAGGATTACAGAAGTTCAACAGTATTTTCTTGCTGGCAGCAGAGCAACTTCATATGGATGGAACTATGGGGAATACAGCCGTGTCCATCACTTCCCACTGCTGTAATTTGCTCACAAAAATAAAATTGTAACTATTAAGCAACTCCCATGATAAATTCCAGTAATCCTTCACTGATGGTGATGATTCTATAAACAAAGTTACTACTCAAAATCGTACAAGCACCTGCTCACTAGACATTAAATGGCATCTAGCATGGGAATATTCACACTTATCCACAGCCTTGCTGGCTGTGAGGGATAGCAACAGTCATTGGCCTCTGCACAGCACCAGATCTCCAGCATCCCAAGCACATTTCCAACCCCACAGGAGGGGCACTCCTAGGAGCCTCTGGTTTCAGGACCTCAGGCTGCTCTCTCTGAAGGCAGGAGATAAGCACAGACAGATGCAACTCATTTATGCAGATGGTGAGATCTGGGACAGAAAGGCTGAGATCCCCAGATGGTGTTTGTTAACCCAAACCTGCTTATGCAGGATCAAAGCAGTCAGACAGGAGGAAGAGAGCAGGGCCATTTATCCCATCCCACACAGATGGATAAATTGCTCCCTCTAATAAAACCTCTCTCTCTGTCCTAGATTAAACACCTCAGTCTCTAACAGATAAGCATTCAGGAAACACCACAGCGGGTCTTCCTCATTTATTCCCCATGTCTGCAGCAAAAAGGCAGGTTTCCTTTGGGACATTTTAGAAAGAAAAATAAATATAAAGCAGTTCTGCTATCCCTTAAATATTGGGCTACTTCCTGACAGCAGACAGACTCTGCTGCCCCTTCTACTCCCGACGTAATTTGCAGAAGTACATGGGCCCAAAGTTGGCTGTGAGGTGAGGCAGGACAAGCTCCCCGAGCTGGCACTCCGAGAAGAAGGAAAAGGTGTCCTGGAAGAGCGTCCTGAAGTGGCTCAGGTCCTCTGGGTGCAGGCTGATGTTGAACTGGGCTCGTGCCACGTCCAGAGCCCTCTCCACCACGCACTCGTTCTGCAGCGGGGACAGCGAGCACGTGGAGTACAGCACAGCTCCTCCCGGCCTGGCCGCCAGGATCCCCGCCCTGCAGCACGGGGAGCACACACACGGTCACCAGAGGGCACCAAGGGACATCCCCACCCACCGACACTGGGGACTCGTAGGAAGGGACAGACAGCCCCCACTGAACTCCACAGGCTTGGCAGTCTGGGTCACTGCAACATGAGCAGTGCTTTGGGCAAAGAGTCAAACAGCACTCATATTGATAAAGGATTTAACGTGGGAGATGCTGCTGCAGAGCAGCTGGAAGGTGTAATTCTGCAGTCACATCCAAAGGAATGGGATATATGTACAGGGGAAGAGATTCCTGCAGTTCAAGTGCTGCCATGGGGCTCTCTAATCTGCGTCCTTATTGCCACAGCAGTGACAAATTGTGGCATTTCCCAGCACCACATGTCCTCCCATGTCCTGGGATAGCTGGAATCCTCTAGGGCTGACTGCCAGGACCCAGGAGATCATCACCTAAAATACCTGTACCCATCCTGCTCCTTAGACCTTCTCCCTGTATCCTACAGCTACTGCTGGGGACAGAAGGACAAGGGGGTCAGGCCTTGGTGATCTGACCAAGAACATCTGCAATTTCTTACACTTACTGTGATTTCACACGTTCCAACTACCGCCAGAAAACTACACATGGTTTCCATATTTCCCAGCTGGGGACAGAGTAAGGAGAGGTTTCAGAGAACACAACACAACCGAGCTCACTCACATCAGCAGCTGCAGCTGCAGCATGGGCAGCATCTGGCGCTCTTTGGTTCGCCTCCTGTGGAAGATGTTGTTGTCCTCCTCCATGGCAGAGTGTCTGTCTGTGGTGCAGGGCACATCCACCAGCACCTGCAGCAGCAGAGGTCCCACCTCAGTCCCCTGCACAGGTCAAGCTCAGCAAATCCTCTCCTGCAGCCAGCCCCATGCCCACCTCCTCCAACCCTGCCAACAGCTCTCAGTGCCCAAACACAGATGTGCACCACACTGAACTGTAACCACCTGGCTGTTCTGGCATTTTGGGAACGTGCAAAAATGGTGGAAAACATCCTGCACTAACTCATGTCCTCATTTAATGTCCCTGCTCTGTGTGTGTCCCTGGCAATGCTCCTGCAGCACACACAGGCATTGCTGCTGCAGCTTCCCAGAGTACCCAACCCACCCCTGGAACACCAAACCCATCCCCTGTGGCTGGACATGGCTGAGAAGCCAGAATTACCTAATCTTCACATTTAACCCCTTCCAGGTGGTGGACAAGAACAAGATTTCTAAAGGGTGTTACACAGGCAAGTAAAGGTACAACTCTAGATGCACATATGCACCAAATCCTGCAGGAAGTAGACAGCAGGAGGAAATATTACTCCTTATGTGGCTTGGTGTTCCCTCTCTTTATGTATGATTACAGAAAACTACACAGTTATATGGAAGGATAACCTGCTGTCTTTCTCAAAAAGAGGAGGGAAGTGAACCTGATGGGTTTATCCAACACATACCTTATGAAAAGTGCCTCCTTTCACCTGGTCCCAGTCTCTTCCGTCGTAGGATGTGACACTCACAGTGTCCCTGACTTCTTTGGGGACATAGCTCTGGAGAATCTGGTACAGCCTCTTTGTCCGGGAAACGGAGACATCATTGGCTGCCAGATGCCCTGCAGGACAGAACAGGTACACTGGGATGTCACTTCTGCAGAAACACACCTGATTCCAGCTCTTACACACAGAATCATTAATGGTCAGGCAGGAATGGGTGCAGCACACAGCTCCAGCCCTGTTTAACACAGGAACAAAGGAACACCCATCCCCACTCACCACAAAACCCAGTCTGCAGCAGAGCCAGAGTCTTCCCACCCGGAGCAGCACAGAGGTCGAGGACAAAGTCATCTGGCTGCACGTCGAGTGCCAGCACAGGCAGGAGAGATGCTGCATCCATGAGGTAATAGTCGAGGAGCCCCAGCCCATCCGGTCTGGAAATCATCAGTTTGCACAGCAAAAGCAAATGTTGGAGGGGAAAAGAAGGTAAAAGAGCAGTTGGAAGTGAGGATGGTGACAAATGGAAGCAGCCCCTGAGGCTGGCAGAGACCAGGGTGGTCAGTCAGGGATGTCTCACCGTGCAGGGCGAAAGCGCGTGATGTCACCCCTGGGGAAGGTGTAACACTTGATTTTGGAGCTGATGGATGTGCAGAGTCGTGGGGACATCTCTGCCTGTGCCACAATTTCTGCCTGCATCCCAGTCCTGCCCTCACCAGAGCCCTCCTGGCACCCTGTGGCCGCTTCCCCCACAGCCGCACCCCGCTGACATTGCTGCGCCTTCTGGAGGGCCTCGGAAATGAAATCAGTGGCGTTGAGCAGCTCCAGCTCTTCAGGAACGTGGTCAGCAGCAGCGAAGTTGTTGAGCAGGGCTCCATATTTCTGCTCACAGAGCAGGCCAGCACGGACTGAAGGCCACAGGGCCCCCAGGTGCAGGCTGTAGCTGGTGTCGAAGTGATGCAGCGCCAGCCGCGTGGATGGGATGCGTGGGGCCGTGGCAGCCTGGGGGGCAAAACAACAGAAGTATTAAAATACCTCAACACCCAGCACCCCCCCTCAGTCTTCACGCTCTTCTGGGAGAATCCAGCACTGGGTTCTGGGCAGCCAGAAGTCCATGAGGCCTTTCTGGAGTGTGTGACAGGACCGGAGGGAATGGCATGAAGCTGTGACGGGGGGGGGGACTGCTGTATGACAGGAAAAGGCTCCCCAGAGAAGGGGTCCCACACCAAGCCTGTCTGAGTTCAAGAAGCATTTGGAGAATGCTCTCAGGCACAGGGCAGGACTGCTGGGAGTGTCCTGTGCAGGGCCAGGAGCTGCATCCTGGGGCATCCCCTCCAAATGGGCACATTCAGTGACTCCAGGACTCTGTGAATGGCCGAATGTGGCGGGGCGTCCGGGATGGGCACGCCTGCACACAGAGCGGCGGCAGGAGGGTGCAGCGAGGGGTGAAATGGGGGCATGAGAAGGGGATTTGCACCGGGTGCAATGGGGTTAGCGGGGACAAGAGTGGGGTGCAAGCAGCGCCGTGCGGGGCCGTGCTCCGGTCCCACCCCGGTCCGGCTCACCCATTTCTCCTTGTGCCGGTGCCGGCGCGGCGCCGCTCCCGGTGTCGCTCCTGTCCCCGGTGCCCGGCGCAGCAGCCCGACCGCCGCCCGCCCGCGCCCGCCCAGCGCCGCCATCGCCGCTCGCCTTCCGGGGCGGGACCGGGGAGCGCTCGGAAAGGGATGCGGGCGGCCGGGCCCGGGGAGCGGGGCCGATCTCAGTGATCTCTAAGGTCCCTTCCAACCTAAACGTCCGGTCATTTCTGAGCTGGCTGTTGAAAACGGTCCGGCAACAAACGCGCTTTGCACAGGCACAGCTGGACCCTGCCCTGTGCCACAGGGGAAAAAACAATAACCTAAACCTGCTGGAACCTACATGGTTCCCTTAACCCAATAAAGCCTGAAATCCGTCAGCAAAAGGACCATGAACCACTATATGGATAAACAATAGCCAAATTTATAAGGTGGTGGCTTTCATTCCACTTTGAAGAATAGCCGTGAGATACCCTAGTTTTCCTCGTACCATTCTCTCTTGAGAAAGGAGTAGGCAGAGCACGGACAGGGTGAGCAGAACAGGCTGGTAACTCACACAGAAAGGCTTTAGCTCCCCCCAGGTGACCCTGACCGGGACGTGAGTAGCTGAACCACCCCCATGCACCTGCACAGGCACATGGTTGGTTTCCTGGGCAAGAAGGCAGAGCTGGCGGCTGGCAGGAGGCTCTGCCAGCCCCTGGCAGAAGCAGGAGACAGTGAGGGACAGCTGACAGCCTTCCCCTGAGGGTGTGACAAACTTCTCTCTCCATAAAATGGTCACTCCCTTCAGTCTAACTTAGAACATACTATGTGAACAACACTGGTCTTGAAGGGCTTAGGAATAATCTTAGTGGCTTCAATAGACAAAATTCTTCCCCATGGGATTGGCCTGCAGGAGCTGTCCACCATGGCAGCACCAAAAATGACATTCCCACAAGTGAGAAAAACTCTCCTGCCCTTAACTGGGCTCCGGCACCCACTGATTTCATCTTAACCCAGTGCAAGTCAGAAGCACGAGAACTAGGAAATAAACACAGGGCACTTCCACAGGAACTCTCAATGTTTAATATGGAAAATTACAGAACATCAACACGTTGTTTGTTTTGTTTTTGCAAAGCTGCACATCTTCCATGAGCACAGAGGCAGTGACAGGCTGCCAGGAAGCCGTTTCATTCATGCTCAGCACGGAGGATGGACTGCAGGAAGCAGAACTGTGATCCAGGAACCGCTGGCACCGACTGTGGAAGCAGATGGACAACCATGCCCCTTTTCACTTCAGCTTACTGAAAAGCTTGTGAGCAACCTGGAGAGAAAGAGAGCTCTCAGTAACTCATAACTTAGAGATGAAAATCAGTAAGTTGTTGCCTATTGGTTTTCTGGGCCAACAATGCACACAGCTTCACAGCCCTTGCTTTTGCTCTGCAAAACGTCATTCAAGAATGCTACTGAGATGCCTTGCAAAGCTTCAGCTCAGGTTCAAAAGCTTTAACTTTAAAATGGCAAGTACAAGACAGAAATAGCTAAGTGCTATTTGCAGGGTACAAACACTGGGTTTGAGTTATTTCATTGTTTAATAAGCACAGAATCCCAGCTAAACCTGCTGTAACAAGGAGGAACTAAACAATAAACAAGACAGCGGGACAGAAGGCAGCTCTGCTCAGGCCCGCAGCACTTACACAGTGGTCCCTGGCGTGCAGGAAGTCGAAGAGCTCCTCAGTGCACTGCTCCTCCGTGTGGGAGCGGGATGCCACCCGCTCGTTACACAGCTCCAGCTGTTCCCGCGCCTTCACGCATTTCTCGATCTGCTCGCACTGCTCCCGCAGCGTGGTCAGGGGGTCCTGCGGACACGGCGCTGCGGTGAGCACCGGGACAACCCCGCACGCCGCTTCCCCCGAGCCCCTTCAAGAGGGAGCCCGGCATCCACCCCGCAGCCCGGCCTCCCCAGGGAGCTCCGGCCCGCGGGCCCAGCGCGGCCCCGCCCGAGCCCCCCGAGCCTGTTCGGCGGCGCTGGCGGCCCCGGGCAGCCGGCTCTGGCAGCTGCGAGTCCCCGCCGCGGCTCCTCGTCTTACCACGAGCTCTTGCTCTTCCTCTTCCTCCTGCGGAAAGACAAGAAGCACAGCGTTAGTGCCGGCCCTGCCAGCCGGCCGGGAGAACAAAACAGCCCCGCGGCGCCCCGCGCTCACCTCGGCACAGGGATCACCGCGCTGCCCCATCGCGCTCCCGCCGCACAGAAGGACTCGCCAGGGTCACCCGCCGGAAGCGCCGCTGCCCGCGCCGGTAGCGGAAGCGCTCCCTCCGCAGGGCGGTGCTTCGGCCCGGGGCGCGGCCCTTCCAAACATGGCAGCCGGCAGTGCCTGTGCGTGTTGCCGTGCCAAGGCGGGCATTGCTGCGCTCCCGCCTTTCCTCTCCCTTCTTTCTGTGTGTCTCGGCCTCGGAAGCGGCTCGGCGGGGCTGTTACCGTCGGTCTGTCCGCCCGGTTCTCGGCACGACCTCCCCAACATGGCCGACCGCTTTAGCCACTCCCCAAGATGGCTGCGCGGTGCAGGCGGTCCGTGCCCGAGGCGGTGATGGCGGCCGAGCGGCCGCGCAGCCTGTTCGCGCTGAGCGCGGCCTCCGTGAGCCGCAGCATGGCCGCCCTGGAGCGGGACGTTTGGGGTAAGGCGCGGGCGGCGCGGGGCGGCGGGGCGCGGGGCCCGGGCCTGCCCGCACCCTGCCGCCCTCTCCCTCTGGCTCTCCGCAGCGCTGCCCGGGCACGTCCTGCGGGGGCTCCTGCCGTTCCTCACCATCTTCCACCTCGAGCGGGCCGAGGACGCCGCGCGGAGAGCAGGTGACACCGGCGGGGACGGCGGCGAACTCGTGGGGACACCCCCGGGCGGGAGGGACGGGCCCCTCAAAGTGATGGGGCGAGAGAATGGAGGGATGGCCCGGGAGGAGCCCACAGCGCGGGGACCCTCGGCTGGAGAGAGGAGCCCCGAGCCAGAGCCGTCCCAGGGACACCGCCTCTGTCCCACACCCGGACGGGCTCGGGCTGTGCCCCGGCATCCCATCGAGCTCTGAGCACGACACTGGGAGAGGGGTGAAAGCGCCCGGTTGATGATTCTTCCCCCCAGGCCTCTCGACACAGCCCATCTGGCGCAAGCTGTGGGACGATGTGATGAAAACCAGGCCGCCCAACTCGGAGGTGAGGAAACTCTCTGGTGGGAGAAGGGGCTCGACACGGGAGCTCTGTTTCTGGTGTTTTCCATGAGGTTTTCTTTTTGGCTGCCTCCAAGCAATTCCTGGCACTTGTTTATAAGTGTTCGTAGAGCTCCGGACCAAGGCATGACCCTGGTAATACAAACATTTTGGGAAATGGGATTTATAAAGGAAGCATAGTGCACAGCCACACCCTTCATCTCCCAGCAATGAGTTTGCCAAAAGAGCAAATCTTTGTCTTCAGAGATTCTCACAGAAACAGAGGATAAAAACAGTATATTCTATCATGTTTACACCTACCCTGGGAAAAAAAAAAAAAACATGCTGATGTCTTAGAAAGCATGAGAAAAAATAGAGAAGATAGTGATTTTGGAGAATGGTTTTATGTAGAAAAACCGAAGCAGCTTCATTGCTTCATCATCGTAGAAGAATCATTAACAAACAACTTAACGACAGCCAGTAAATAGATGCTGAAAGAAAATTGCTGGTGACGTGTTTTTTTTAATAGGCAAAAAAAATGGCCCAGCTCCAAATCACTGAGTGTTTAAATTAGGCCAGAAGGAGGATGAAGAGAGCAATGGGATTCACTCAGGTTTTCAAGGAGTACACTGAGGAAGCATGCTGAGAACTAGAGGCGGTCTCAGTGGAGCTAGCAGGAGGGGTTTTTTGGACACCAGGTTAGCAGACAGCAATAATTTAACTTAAAAAGAACAAGAAAAATGGATGCTGACTTTTTAATCCTACACTCTGTTATTCAATTGCAGAGCATAACATGCTGGAGGAAGAAGTTCCTTGAAACATTCTTCTCCAATGTCCTCCATGGTGTCCTGGACGTTTCCTCTGACTGGCGCCTCCACGACCGTCACTTCTCGCCACTGCTGCACAGCTCCCCGCACGTTTCCCAGCTCACCCTGTGCAACATGCTCCAGGGGGCTGTGGAGCTCACTGCCCAGCACAACCACGAGGTGCTGGAAAACCTGGCTGCCTCCCTGCGGGTCCTGAAGTTCCAGCACCTCCTCTTCTGCAGCCAGTCCATCAGGTGCTCGCTGGTTTTGCTCCTCCACCGGCTGATCCACCACGGCTCTGTCAGCCAGGTGTCCATGAGCTCCTGGCCTGTTTCTGACACGCTTCTTCTCATCCTCATCCTCACCATGAGCGCTGGGTTTGGGCGCGTGGGACATGGCATCGCCTGTGACGGCAGCCCGTGTCGCCTTTGCAGAGAGGAGGACCTAGCCCAAAGCCAGCAGTCAGCACAGGAGGGAGCAGAGAGGGGCTGTGATGCTGAGCAGGAGGGGAGCGGTGCTGAGAACCAGAAGAGATCCCCAGAAGAGGCTGATGCTTGCATGACCTCTGTCCTCTCTGGCCCCAGAAGTCCTCCCCTGCGAAACCCAGCATGTAAAGAGACAAGCAGTGAGGTGCCCTGTGGCCACACCAACATTCAGGGGGGCTCTTCCCCTCGTTCCAGCTCACAGCAGCTGTCCTGTCACCCTGTTCCTCGAAAGACACGCAGATGGCAGAAACCTGCAGCGGGGAGGAAACGTCGCCGCCTCAGGCGGAGCAGGGGACACTATGCTGACCCAGAAGATCTCTATGATTTTGTTTTTACTGTTGCTAGAGAGGATAATTCAGGGTTACTGGACAAAACCAGGACCACAGAGGGAGAGAACACTGAGAACTGGACTAGTTCCTCCTCAGGATCTCCAGGCCATGTTGGCTGTAAGAAAAGAGGAGGACCTGCTGCAACCCTTTCTCTGAAAGGTGGTCACCGCTTCCGAAGTGTCTCCACACTGGAATTGTTCTCCGTTCGTTTGAATGAGGTGACATGTTGGACTCTGAGTAACCTGCTGAGCTCCTGGGTGTCTTTAGAAAACCTGGTTCTGTCCTACAATGGTCAGTGCTGTGAATAGTAC